ATTCTTTTGAAAATGAAGGATATAGAAATGAAGGCTTTTGTACTCTCCTTGCTTGATTTGAAAAAAGGCTTGCTTCTTTTTCAATTTCTAGGCACTAACATAGTGCGTCAGAAATAGCTTCTTGAAGTTGACAAAAGAGTGGATAAATCCTGCTGGTAAGCTATTGAAGCACTTGAAGGAAAACTCCCTTAGTGTGGTAAGGAATGACCAACACTTTAAAGTGTTAGTAATTATCAACATAACTACTGCTGACTCAAAGGAAGCAATGTGATTAACAAGGTTAAACTGACCCTTATAAGATTCAACGTAGGGAGCTTTGAACTTCTCCAGAGGTTCAACTTCCAAGAGTTTCTAAGAGAAAGCATTCTCTAGAGGTTGTCGTTGGGGTCTCTCAACATGTATGAGTTGATGTACTTCCACTGACATTGATCTAACACTATCAATGTATTGGGGATGTTTTTCTCTCTGAAGTGTCTGGGCGACTCTACGGCCGCTAGGTGCTTAGGGTTCTCCTCGAGGAGGTTCCTCAAAGAGATGTGCTTTCTTATGAGGTTCACTTGATATGAAATGTTTTTGTTCCTCCTTTGGGTAATAATATCTCAGATACTGATCATCATCTGAATTTTGAGCTCATGAATTTGTCGTTGTACAGATTTGTAAGTGAACTCAATGTTTACAATGTCTCTAAGTTGAGTTTCCTCTTCTTGGATGTTTGCACTACTGTTCATCTTGGGCATGTCCATGCTAACTGCACCATCTTTTAGGATGTTTAATTCAGATTTATCCATAAAACATGCCTTTGGTGATGGAACATTAACACCCTTCCCGGTTCAGGTGCACTTTCACATTGGGGTTTCATGCAAGTATTTGTGTCATATAAGTAATATCAGATTTATGACTCCGGAATATAGATCCCACAGAGAATCAATGTAGTTAAAGTCATAAGAAAAGTTCTAGCTTACTAAAATGAGTCTTAACCTGGAAGTAAAATTGGTCTTAAATGTTGCTAACTAATTCTTCAAAATTACTACCTACAATTTAATAATTACTCCTATAGAAATCCTATTAAATATATTTAAAGAAGTGAAAAGCAAAATATGAAATATAGCCTCCCTCATAATGATAAATGTAGTGTATAGGAAAACCAATACTTTAAATTGTGATTACGGCAAGTGACAAATAGGAGAAAATTTCTACTTTACCCTCTCATAAGTGCATAAAGAAGCTTCGTTAAACTGGTTTTAATTCCTTAAACCCAAATTTGAACCCATTAAAGACCATTTCCCTGTCTATTTGCATCTCCCAATAGTTTACTTTTTCTTCATAACTTATAGTTCAATGTGAATATTCTAATTGTTCTTCTAAAGCTCTCCCAAGTCATTATGGATCACAATATGTGTTAACTAATCATTTAGATATATTAAAAACTAAATGAAGCATAGTAGAATACTCATCACATTAAAGATGGAAAACCAACTTCAAAAGCATTCTACCATTCCTATACAACTATCACAATCATTGCAATAGAAAAGTGAAAAGTCTACTTACCAACCATAGGAAACACACCACAAACATCATTAACATAAAGCACATCCACTAGGAAATTGTGTTTTAGAAAAGAACGATACAATAAAATCACAATACTTAGCTTCTTCCTCTTTACAATACTCTAAGAATTCTCTCCTAGGTTTTCTCAAACCCTTGCTGCAGTGCTGATGTAATCTTCTTACAATAAATCTCTCAATTCTCCCCAATTTCTCTATGTAAAAGCCCTAATTCTCTTTTACAACAATCCTATAATGTTCCTTTTCCTCTCTTCTAGAAGTACTTCTCTCCATGACCTTTTAGAACTTCTTATAACCTCCAAATAACTCCTCACTTTATTGGGAGAAATGTTGAAAGAGCTACCTACCAATTGCTGGCGCCTAGGCTCCAAGCTCTCTGTCTACCCGGGTAGAGACTGGCGCCTAGGTGTCAAAGTGTGTGGCACCAGTGAGTGTAGTACCTTAGTGCCCAAAGGCTAGCGCCTAGGCACCAGTCAATTGATGCTCCTTTAGCTCCATGTCACCTCTGCTTTGCTCCATTTCTTCTCTTGTTCCACTTCTAATACTTTTTGTAGCTATAAGAATATCATAAAAATACCTTCCTTTAAAGTGCCAGTCAATTGATGCTCCTTTAGATCCATGTCACCTCTGCTTTGCTCCATTTCTTCTCCATTTTGTTCCACTTCTAATACTTTTTGTACCTATAAGAATATCATAAAAATACCTTCCTTTAAAGTGCAATTTCATCTATAAAAAGGTGCAAAAAGTAAAGAATTTTAAGCATTCAGTTATACATATCAAACTTCTCCAAACTTAAATGATATTTGTTCTAAAGCAACACTAAAATTTTTAAAATCATTTTTTTTAATTGGAGGAAGTGGGTTTTCATTAAAATTATTAATAATTTTGTTTTAGCAAATACATAAATTACAATTTAGACAAACTCTATAGAAAATCAAATTTTCCTATTAAGATGAAAAGGTTTACTTTTACCATATGGCTAGACTTGTTTTCTTGAGGTAAAATTGTTGATAACTTTAATAATAAACATTCCCTCAAATTAATAGATTTGGTTTTAAAATTTTAATGTTACTTGAGAATAAGTAACTTTTAAGTTTGGGTGATTTTGATGTGTAGAAAAGAATGTTTAATTTTATTTATATTTTACACATTTTTATGGACAAAATTGAACTTTAAAAAAGGGTATTTTCATGTTTTTTTTTACAGGTGTTACATGTAGTAGAAATGGAATGAATTGGAGAAGAAATAGAGTGAAACAGAGGTGGCATGGAGAAAGGTGACTCAAGAGACTGAGACCTAGGTGCCAACCACTGGGCGCCAAGGCGGTGCCAGCCATTGGGGGCGAAGGTGCTCCTACTAAGAGTCGTGACACAGCCTTCTTGGGCGCCTAGGCTTCAGTGCCCAAACCAACGCCTAGGCGCCAGGGACTACTGGGCAGTTTTCAGTAGTTACTTCCACACGATTTGGGGAGTTATGCAGAAGATAAAAGGGCTTATTTGGAGAGTTAATGATGAGAACATTGTTGAAGTCTAAGGGGAATGCTTCTGAAGTCCAGGAGAAAGTGTATGTGAAGTCTAGAGTTAGCTTCAAAGTTAGATTTTCTTTTACTTGGAAATTTTGGTGAGATTAGTGAGTTGTATTGGAGGGAAGACTAGATTTTCTTTTACTTGGAAATTTTGGTGAGATCAGTGAGTTGTATTGGAGGGAAGACATTCAACATTGCAGTAAGGATTGGGAGAACCTTTGGGGAGGCATTTCCAACACTTTGTAAAGAGAAAAAATTAAGTAATGTGTACTCTTTTGTATTTTAATTTTATGTAAACACAATTCTAATGGATTTGCTTTGTTTCAAAGATGTGATGTGCTGTTTTCCCCATGCTTTGTGAGTAATCCTTTTACCTTTTATCTTGTGGTGAATAATTTTACCTTGTGGTGAATAAGTAGGTTGTGTAGGAATAGTCAAATTCTTTTAAAATTGGTTTACAATCCTTAATATGATGAGTATTCTTCAAAATTTTATCTAGTTTTCATTCTGGCCAAATAAGGAAGAATAATTAGAGTATTCAAGTTGAACTATAGGGTATGAAGTAAAAATAAACTATAGAGGGATACAAATAGATAGGGAAATAAACATTGATGGGATCAAATTAGGGTTTAAGGAATTAAAACTAGTTTAGCCAAACTTTTTTATGCACTCTGGAGCGGGTAAATAAGAGAGTTGCTCCTATTTATCACTAGCCACAATTACAATTTAAAATATTCATTTTCAAATACACCACTTGTGTCATTACAAGGGAGAGTAGCTTTATAACTTGATTATCACCAATTCAAATATATTTAGTAAAATTTTGGTAAGAGTAAACCTTAAGAGTAGTTTGCAATTCAGTAGGACTAATTAACACAACTTAAAAATCAACTTCACTTCTAAGCTAAGACTGACTTTAGCCGGCTAGAACTTCTTTTAAGTATAAATACCTCAATCCTTGTTGGATCGACATTCCACACTCAAAATCTAATATTACTGATATGACACATACACTTGCATGAGACCCCTGCAGTTAGAATTAGGGTGTGTCAAGCTTTTGGCGCCGCTACAAGGCGTATCAATAGCTAATGCCTAAAATTCAAATTTCATTTATTTACATGAAAAAAAAAGTTGAAATCACACATAATAACCATGTTATATTTTTGCATTACCAACCTAACAACAAAAAATAAATTTACATGGAATGAAAATTAAAATAAACACAAATCTCATGAGGGCAGACTCAAGAGAGAAAAAAATATATAAATTTGAGCTGGAAGAAGAGTTTACCTTGTTGGAGCCGTGATTTGGATGGTGAAAATGTCATCGGAATTGCTCGAGCTCGTCAGAGTGATTGTTTTGCCCAGATTCACCCCTAGGTTGCCAGTTTTGTTATCAAGAGCTGTCAAAAGAAAAAAGGGAGTGGAAATGAGATTCAGTCGGTATTGGGGTGAATATTAGGGCATTACCGACTACATAACATCGACCATTTCTGACGGGAGTGGAAATGACCAATGCTAAGCATTACCGACTACATAACATCGACCATTTCTGACGCTAAAACTTACATAATAGCATCGGCAATGACCAATGCTAAGCAGTCTGTAACCACTACCTTTAGCCATTGCGTCAACTTTTTCTTTTGGTTCGGCTCTATTGGTCAATAAGGAGACATAAATTAAAGGTCGATGCAAACTCGGATGCTAATTAACAATTTTCCTGTAGTGAGGAATCCATTTAAAACAATGTCGAACTGTTATCATTTCTCAATATACAGCATTGTGCTGACAAAGATCAGGATTCCATTCGAAGCAAAAGATATAGCCGCTACGCAATATAACCGTTTTTAACGGTCATATAATTCCCGGGAGTATGACCAGAACTTCTCCTCATCAGGATTCCATACGAAGCAAAAGATATAGCCGCCACGCAATATAACCGCATATAATTCCCGGGAGTATGACCAGAACTTCTCCTCCCTTAAAGACCGTCCTCATCACCCTCCTCCAAAAACATTTAAAAATACAATCTTTCGCCCAAATCCACTCTCTTCTCCTCACTTCCGGCTTTACCCAAGATTTATCTGTCCTCCTCAAGCTCGCAGATTTCCTCGCTTCCTTTCAATGTCCCTTCTTAGCCTATTTGACTCTAAAGCAAACCAAAAGCCTCTCAAATCCCTTTCTTTTCAACTCCCTAATCGCATCCTTTACTCAAAACGGTTCTCCCCAGTCCGCATTTGCAGTCTACAAGCATTTGGTATGTGACGGCATTTCCCCAGATAAGTACACCTTCCCTCTTGTTCTCAAATCGTGCGCAAAGTTCTCAGGCATTAATGAAGCTAGACAGATACATGCGGTTTCCACCAAGCTAGGCTTTTTAAATGATATCTATGTTCAGAATGCTTTGCTGCATGTTTATGGTTTCTGTGGTTGGTACCTAGATGCAAGAATCTTGTTTGAGGAAATGCTTGTTAAAGACGTTGTGTCTTGGACTGGCTTGATTTCTGCCTTTGTTAAGGGTGGGCGTTTTGGTAATGCTCTGAGTTTATTTGCCGAAATGGATGTGGAACCAAACATTGCAACTCTTGTTAGTGTGCTTGTTGCATGCGGAAGGACTGGGGAGCTGTGTTTGGGAAGATCAATCCATGGATTGTTGCTTAAAAATGCAGCCATTTTGGGGCTTATTGTTGGGAATGCACTTTTGGATATGTATGTCAAGTGTGAGAGTGTTGAGGAATCACGAATGTTGTTTGAAGGTCTCCATGTAAAAGATATTGTTTCTTGGACAAGTGTAATAAGTGGGCTGGTACAATGCAAGCAGCCAAAGGAAGCTTTAGATTTTTTTCATGCCATGCAAGCCTCTGGAATGGAACCCGACAAGGTGGTTTTGTCCAGTGTGCTTTCTGCATGTGCAAGCTTGGGAGCTTTGGATTGTGGGAGATGGATTCATCGGTATATCGAACGGAAGGATATTGAGCAGGATTTGCACATAGGAACTGCCATGGTTGACATGTATGCTAAATGTGGATGCCTAGATATGGCATCGGATATGTTCCATGGCATGCCGCATAAAAATGTCCTCTCTTGGAATGCATTGCTGAGTGGTCTAGCGATGCATGGGCATGGAAAGCTTGCACTGAGTTACTTTGATTGCATGGTTAGAACTGGTCTCAAGCCTAATGATGTGACTTTCATAGCAATACTTAGTGCCTGTTCTCATTCAGGATTAGTGGAGGATGGCCGACGCCATTTCGCCTCAATGATAGAGTTCTATGATGTTACACCAAACATAGAGCACTATGGATGCATGGTTGATATGCTTGGAAGGGCTGGGATGGTTGAAGAAGCTTACGAACTTGTTAAAACTATGCCAATGAAAGCTGATGTACGTATATGGGGAGCCATGCTAAGTGCTTGCAAAGCTAGTGGTAATGTTCAACTATCACAACATATTCTTGATCATCTTGAGCTAGAGGCTTCCGATAGTGGTGTTTTTGTATTGCTATCCAACATATATGCTACAAATGAGAAGTGGGAGAACATCAATACATTAAGGAGGCTTATGAGGAAGAGTGGTATTAAAAAGGAACCTGGTTCAAGCATTATTGAATTGAATGGTAAAGCTCATGAATTCCTGGTTGGAGAAATGGAATACACTCAACAGGAGGAGATTTTGATGATTTTGTACATACTGGAGAAACAAATGCAAATTGATGGATAATAAAGCACGTTATATTTTTGACATTTTCCCCATCTGTTGGGTCATCATTCATTTATGTAGGAGTCTCAAAAATTATATAGAAGATTAGTTCTACTTGTAAACGTAGCTTTCGAAATGTCTAAGACTTTCCATTTTGTAGTTGGCACTAATCAATTTTATGCACTCCTTATGGAAAATAAAAAAGCAATTGAGATTTGTATTCTTTATATGTTATAAATCTTCACTTGTTCTCTAATAATTTTGGTCAAATTCACACAGGCAATACTATATTTGTTTTCTAATAATTTGATGATCAAAATGAGTTCATAATAATTTACATTCAGATTCTATGTGATGTGAAATATGTTGTGTGGTGATAGAAAGAATATTTTGGAAAATATTGCAAACATTTTGCAGCTTAGGTTTGTGGAGGATAATTGCCACGCCTTGCAAAAAAATCTAGCATAATCCTCTTCTCTCCCTAACTTTATGATGATATGTCTTCCATCCAATGCTCCAACCTTCCTCTTTGCAAGGAGCTGTAGATTTTCAAAATAACCTCTGACAACGTCGATGTTGGGGTGGCCATAGGTGAATTTACCCATCAAGGCAAATTTAAGTTCTCAGTTAGCTCAGTAGTATCTTCTTCATTAAAGATAATGCCGGCTTGCCTCCCTTTCTTCCAACCTGTTTGAGTAAACCTTCATCATCACAGTTTCCATCATAATCCTTATGTATCTATTTTAGAAATATCAGTAGAGCAGGGTCTACTTGTTGGGAACCTTGTAATGCTTCAGCAAAGGACAGAGCAGTGGTAGGTGATGTCGCCATTAAAGCACCACCCAATGGAATAGTAACTCACAGAAAACAGCAAAACACCTCACCACCAATCAGTAATAAGCCAAAAAGCGAGCAAAGATAGCAAAAGAACCAGAAAGCTGACTTCCAAAACCAAAAAAACAGCATCAAATCCATGATTGGGAGAGAATCAAAACTAGAAATCATAAGGGAACAGCTGCCGCCTTCATCTTTATGTATGTATGTATGTATGTATACACACACACACACACACACACTTATACAATGCTAAGTGCACTGGTTTGTTGTATATTGAATGTGCTCATAGCGCAACTCTCTCATCCACACAATTAAAAAACAAACACTGAGAAACTACAAAATGCTACTACTTGAAATAAGTAGAAGCCACCATAGAAAAATATGATTTCTTAATTTCTACAAAAGAATTCAGATCACATGTATTTGGTACAGTAGAGTGCATTAAATTTCATGAAACGGCCATTTCAAACCTCCTGATGCAATTCTTTGGTACATGGTTTCGGTGGAACATTAGTTCCTTGGGAATTGTTGTAGGCTTTCTTCCTTGCAGGTGGAGCTTTGGTTTCTTGGGAATTGTTGCAGGCTTTCTTCCTTGCAGGCAGCCGGGAGCCTTTCTTTCCTCCCCTGCACTTGCGAGCCTGTGTACTTTTGGCAAATTTGGCTTGACAATGTCTCTTGTATATTGTTGAACAGTGTTGCTGGTTCTTTCTTGAACTCAACTTTGAGCTTCCTCTCCAAATTTGCCTCTTTAAGAATTCCTCTTTCATCTGTTCTTAATCTGAAAGGTTTGGGGTTTGTTGTTCTCTTGGGTTTTAGTGCCTGGAAAGCTTTGGTTTGAGCTTCCCGAGGATTCGAATTCTGAAACTGCAAGCCCTTAACCTCAGAAATTGCCACTTTTGGGTGCAGATTTTTGTTTACAGAAGTGAACAAATTGTTCTCTTTATCATCATCATTGGTAACATTTCAAGCAGTTTTAATCTTATTCGATAATCGACGGGAAACTTTCAGATCTCTATTTTCTACTCCATCTTTACTTGGTTTGATTGATGCTTCTGAATCGCTTACAATTTTATAATATATGACAACTAGAAGTTCTTCATGAGTTCGCTTAACTACATTAGTATTGTTCTCTACTAAATTCTTCCGCTCCTCTATCAATGTTGTGGTTACCATTCTTTGAACCAACTGCTGTGATGTTTTTTGATGAAAGAGAAGATCCCTTACAGTTTTTTAGTACTGATTGCATAAGAACTTAGGCTCATAAACGTTTTCTCTCACCTCCTGTTTTTATCTTCTTCTTCTTCTTCTCAGAACAAATCTTTGAAATTGGATCTTTGCTTGACCCAGCTGACTTGACCAGATTTCTATCCTTTGACGCCACCACAGTATCAGATGTCTTCAGGTATTTGGCATGTGATTTTTTGTTGCTGGTTGTGTTTTGTTTATTCGCACTTGCCAATGTAGGCAACTTTGCTCTCTTCTGGATCGATGTCTCTCTCAGACTAGTTATCGGATGTTGCTTTAGCTTGGACATAGTGATATTTCTCTGATTGAATTCAAGGTACTCATTCTAGAAATTCCATTTTTGGTTGATTTAGCTGGGACTGATTGTGGGCATTTTGTGTATGCTCTTAAACTCTGCTTGCTCAATGTTCTCTGAAACCTTACGTTTGGGCTTCTAGCTGCCATAACCCGTAGCATGAAACTTCGGTTAAGCTCGTCAGGATCTATCTCTTCATGTTTCTGTCACAACCGATGCGAGCACAGAACCAAGACCTATGGTCCGGAAAAGAGCAGTCAGGGAGGTGAAAGGACGAACTTTGGAGCTTCGATCTTCTCATAGAAATCTTCGTCTTCCTCTTCTACTGCTAAGCTTGGATCTTCCATTTCTAATGTCAAAGCCAATCTTAGAGAGGCCAAAGGGTGGTGGGAGAGAGAAGGGTGGAGGAGCGGGAAGATGCTAAGACTTATATATATATAGGGGTGTAAACGAATCGAACACGAACGAACAAAGCTTGTGTTCGTGTTCGGTTCGTTTAAAATTTAGTTTGTTTGAAATAAGCTCGTGTTCGTTTCTTAACGAACGAGCCGAACACGAACCGAACACGAGCTGTTCGCGAACGACGAG